ACATGACTGAACGCATCATGTTAAAAATAATTGTAGATACAACATAATAGGCTAATGTGCTTCCTGGTGCCTTTCCTCTATAATTTATGTAAAAGATAAATCAGCATCCATTAGCATTTATTAAACTCTCATATGAGCTAAATGTTGGATTCTGCATTGGACACATTGCGCTGACAAAGCCCACCCTGTCACTCTACTCCCCGCTCACCTCCAGAACAAAAGCATCTGTTAAACAGGAGCAGTGAATGAATCCAAGGCCTGACCGCTCATGTTAGAATCCGAGTAAGCAGTGTAATTCTACAGCCCTCTGTTTTGTTTTGTCTGTTTTGTTTTTGGTTTTTTGTAACAAGTATTTAATTTTTTTTAGTCAAAAAATTGTGTGGTCATTAATTCAATAAATATTTATTGTGTGACTACCACACTGACGCTGTTCTAGGCACTGGGAATAGAGCAGTGAATAAAACAGAAAAAAAAAAATCCCTGCCTTCAGGAAGGTTGCATTCCAGTAAAGACCCAGATAATAAATATTTTAGGCTTTGGTATGGATCGTATTGGAATGTGGTCAGGGTAGTCCTCACTGAGAAAATAATAACATCGGATAAAAGACCTGAAGGAATTGAGCGAGGAGATCAGGGGGTGTTTAGAGAGAGAATTCGAGGAAGGGATTGTCAAGTGCAGGCAATTGTGTACCTGTTCTTGAGCAATAGCAGGGTAGACAGAAATGAGATCAAAGACAAGATAGCAAGGGGCTCAAATGCCATTTTTAAAACTGATTTTTACTCTGAGTGAGATAAGAAGCCTTTGCAGTTTTAAGCACAGTAGTGACCTGCTCTGGTGTGCTAATTTCAATTTTTTGGCCTGAGAAAGTGGATAGACAGAGGAGACCAGTAGAGACTGAAAGAAGGGAAGTAAGGAGGATCAGAGTCTTGAGTACAGAAATATTATGTTTGAAATACCTATTGGGTATCCAAGTAGTGATGTGAGGAAGATAATTTCTGCAGGAGTCTTGAGATCCAAAAAGAGGTTTTAAGTTCAGGATATAAATGTTAAGTGTTGTCAACCCATAGATAGAATGGATTTAAAATCATGAGATCACCAAGGGATTGCATTTGGAAAGAGAGAGAAGTCCAAGCATTGTGTCCTTGGGTACTCCAAAGGTAGGAATTCAGGGAGACGAGAAAGTAGCAGAGAGGGAGATGGGAAAGAGCAACCGGTAAGATAGGAGGGAAACCTGAAAGAGCCTAGTTGCAGAAGCCAACTGGGAAAGTATATACCAGAAGAGGGAACAAGCATTAGCCTCACTTGCAACTGGAGACTCCATGCAAAATGAAGACTGAGAACTGAACCATTGTTTTAGCAGCATGAGGATCATTAGCAGTGCTGAAAAGAGCAGTTTCAGTGAAGTAGTGGGAATGAGAGCCTTATTGGAGCAAACTCAAGAGAGAGCAGAGAGAGAAATTCAAGGTGCAGAGTACACACGGGTTTTTCAAGGAGTTTTCGTGGGTTTGTTGTTGTTTGTTTTTTGTATAGAAAGAAAGAATTAAGATGATAATTGGAAGGGAAGTGGATCAACAGAGGTTTTGGGGTGTTTTAAGATGGCAGAAACAACACCATTTCTGTGTGCTGGTAGAAAAGCTCCAGGGGAAAAAAAAAGAAAATGAAAAAGAAAAAAGAAAAGAAACAAGAAAGAGAGCATGAATTACTGGACAGTTGCATGGGTAGAATGAGATATGATGCAAGAGACTACTCACTGTCAATTAAAAGGGTTTTGCTAACATGATCCTACAGTTGCAGTGCAGCGACAATATTTGGTAAATTAATGAAAATAAGTTGAAGTAGAATAATGAGAACAAAACAAAGACATTTAGAAGCAACACTGAATCACATTGACTAGCCTCCAGGATATTGGTCTAAAGGTAAAACAGAGATACCTGAGGGAAAGTAGGAAGAATCATGGATACTGTTAACGTGAGATTCGGGAGGTGAGTTGACCAGGACCAGGATCCCACAAGGTACTTGACTCCTCGTAAATGCTCTGAGTTGATTAATTAATTATCTTTGCCCTTTAAAAATTCAGCATGATGAAAACCCCTGTCTCTTGCCTCACAAGTACTGCATGGTATAATGTTATTTCCATGCTCTTTTCATGTTCTTCCACTGAATTTTATACTGATTTATACAGGCTAAGCTGTAAGGCAGAGCTATGATAGGGAACCAAACAAAGGAAGGTGGGTGGTAAAAGCATAACTGCCACTTCCACTGGGAAGAAAATGGGGTTGACGCAATTACAGTGTAAATTGTGTTCCCAATATTAAAAGAAATCTAATACGAAAAATATATCAGCAAACATGTAGCTTTGTGAAACCATACTTTGTTATTTAATACCAGTATCTTCTTACTATTGTAAGAATTGTGCTTTGCTGAGGTCAGATAATAAATTTCAAGAAATCTCAATTCCTCACTTGTTTCAATATAAATTTGGAGATGTGTTCCTTTGTTAAAAAAAAAAAAACTTGAGTCCCCAGTTTGGGGTATCTGAGTGACTCAGTCGCTGAGTTTCTGACATGAGCTCAGGTCATGATCTCATGGCTTGTGAGTTTGAGCCCCACTTTGGGCTCTATGTTTACAGCTCAGAGCCTGGAGCCTGCTTTAGATTCTGTGTCTCCATCTCTCTGCCCCTCCCCTGTTCACACGCTGTCTGTCTCTAAGATAAATAAACACAAATAAACACTAAAAAAAAATTAAAGAATGTATCAGGATGGCAGCACATAATTACAAGAAAAGCAACTTTTGGAAAACATTAATAAAAGTACTAAGACTCCTTATTTTACAGTAGTGAAGTCCAAACCAAACCACCAAAAACATTAAAAATTCAGGAGAACTCTAGAAATTCACTGTTATGATCTCTCTGTTTCTCTCACAATTGTTCCCGTCTAAGATAACAATCACTAATATGATAGAAACTATCAATTTAGCTTTTATTTAACTCAAGCCTCTGTGTCTATGATCCAGGATTATCTTTTACATTTTTTGTATGTTTCAAATTTGTAAAGTTTCTTTCTTGAACTCTGCACAAAAATTTTAGTACAATATATACATTGTCCCTAAAGAGAAAACAGTAGACTGAAATATTTTAGGGGGCCTGTGGCCAGAACATACAGAAGCTGGTGCCTGTTAATTGACATCATATCAATGCTTGCCACCTATTGCTCAACCTCATCATTTATCTTAGAGTTAGGCCAACTATACCAAATCCAGCCTACCACATATTTTTGGAAATAAAGTCTTATGGAACACAACCCCATTCGTTTACTTATTGCCTATCACTCCTTCCACAAGGTAAAGTTGAGTAGTTATAAGACCACATGCGTGCAAAGCCTAAAATATTTACTATCTGACCCTTTATTGGAAAATATTTTCCCATCCTTGGTTTAACTAATGGTTGGTGTCCTCCTTAAACAATTTTTGTTGAGCAATATATACATATCCAAATGGTAATGGAAGGAGGAATCAGAGTACAGAAAGAATCAAGTCATCACCTAAGAGTACCCAACTTCTATAAATACATGTGTGCAAGTAGACTTCCTTTTTAGGTAGTCATGAGAGGAAAATTTTTCCAAGTGTTTCTATCAAAATGCGAATTTTGAAATTCATCTTTGCCCCCTACTGTCTGTAATTTTTATAACGTTTTTTCTACTTCTTATATATTCACACAACATCAAAACCTCCTAGCTCACTTTATCTTAGCATTAAACTGGGGTTTTGAAAAATATTAAAGGGCTCTTGAAAAATGAGTTATTGCTAAACTATTGTCATGTATTTTGAAATGTCAGTGGACAGCTCCTTTCCAATGCCACATGTGTAAAAAGAAATATATTGAGCTGAATAACCCTCCAAATGGTGGGATTTTTTTTCCACTGTTTATTTTTAAAGTCCTAGTTTTTGTCTGTCCTGAGCAAGAATCTAAACATTTTAATTCTTTCAATGGAGTACCATAGTAAGTTTATAGCTGCTGTGCCTTAGACAACCTATACTTAGGGAAAGGAATTTCTAATTCAATTTACAGTGATGTCAAGAAACAACACATATCTGCAAGAATAGATAAGAAAAACATTCAGGGGCACACAGTGATAGCTCTACTTAAGTAAATAAAACTTTTGGTACTAGTGATTAGGTACACAGGATTATTATATGTTTAATTGGCTAACGTGATAATTTGGAATTACTTCTAGTCACATTTAATTGGATTTGTAATCTCTGGAGAAAAGAAATAGAGAGGCCTAGCAGAACAGTCATAAAAGTAAACTGTTTTTTCAAAGGGTGCTAAGCAATGAATTAATATCAATTGCACAATAGTTTTAAATATCCTCTCAGCTTAATAAGACTAATTCAGTGGTTGTACACACTAGATACTAAAACCAATTCAATTAAACACAAAAGTTGGGGAAGGGAAGTGTTTGTTGAATTGGAAGGGTTTTGTTTTTGTTTTTGTTTTACTTTTAAGGAGGCAAATTTAATCAGAGGTAAATAATCTTTAATTCAGGTAGAGTCTAAGATATGCTTAAATAGCAGTACAATACTTAGCTATATATGTGATGCTAGGTTGGAAGGTATTTTAGACTCTCGAAAATATGTGTTGCTCTATAAAGGCTTTGAAGCCTAATAAGGGGCAACCAAAATAATGCATTCCTTCATAGACTTTAAATATTCTTGGACTGTACAAACAGAAAAAAAAAACATCTACAAGACAAATGCTGCTTGCATCTCTTATCCTTTTGGCTTAGATTACAAAAAAAAAAAGAAAAAAGAAAAAAGTAGAAAGAAAAAACAACCCTATTTTCTACATTCTAAAATTTGCTTGAGCTTTGCTCAATATTAGTCTTGTCAAACTTTATACATTACAAAATGTTCTTCCTCAGTATTTATATATACTACATGTTATGGTTTTGTTCTGTCCTATAAATCTGTGGTTTTGTTTTTTTAATTGTCCTTGTTCTTAGGAGTGCCATGATTGCTGACTACATGTTCTGGCTCTGTGGAGGAAGTGAACAGCATATAAGCAAGCTCATCAAACTGTATTGGCAGGTAAAAATGGATGTCCCAGTTAGGGAAGAGGAACCCATCTCATTTTTAGAACCAAAATGAAGAATTGGTGCTTAAAAGACTGCTGAAAAAGGTAGCTCTGGACATATCAATCATAAGGACACTACTCAGTAATAATGTATTTATAATGAAGTAGACTTTCATATAATGAAGTGACTAATTTTAAGGGCAAAATTCAAGGTTGTTAACCCTTGGCCCCTACTTCAGTTTTATAACCCAATATAAATTTTAGACATCCCAGGAACTATTTTCCCAAGTATGCTGCTATAATGGCATGATCCTTTAAAATATGAACATTGTATCCTCATAGATTCTTCTTGATCTATGACCTGTAAAAGCAGATGCTAGAAGTAATATCAATTACATAATAGGAAAATGCAAAGATCAGTTGTATTTGTTGGGTAATATTTAGTAACAAACTGCAGATCTTCTTTCTCATTTATTATTCAAAATGGCAGCAAGAAGCCATATCAAAGGTCAATGAGATCCCAAGAAGAGAGTCATAATTTCTTAAATTATAAAGAGAATTTAGAATTTACTAGTTCAATCTTCTTTACAACATACAATTCTGTTCATTTCCTGTCCTCTCTGAGCAAATTGTCGATGACTTTCTGCTGAAATAGATACAAAATGAAGAGCTCATTTAAGTCCAAGAAACAGCATCCAATTTGCTAATTATTAAACTGTTTTCTTCTTATGAAGTGGATTTCTACTCCCTTAGAACTTTAATCCAGTGGTTCCCAGTAGGGCAACATGGACTAAATGGAAATGTATTTCCAAATGAATTTTTTTTCAAATATTTGAAAGTGAACTACAAAAGCCAACTCCCTCCTCCATATCTTCTCCTCTCCAGAGTGTATGGGGCATCTTATTCCTCATACTTCAAGATAATTTAATTTAATATGAACCCTTTGAACCAACTAGAATAAGATCTGCTAAAACACAAATATGAAAGGGAGAAATAATTATCAATAGTCTTCTGATTTTTCCCATATATTTTCACTACTGTGTCTTGGACCCTGGTTTTCTTTCTTTAGGTCATGTATTATCTTTATTAGACAGTAAAGTAATAGATTTATTGTATAAAAGGCTCACTAATTTATATGGTTCCATCTAAATAGTTGGAGTTTTAACCTACTATAAAAAATAAAAGTTTACATTAGTCCTACTATACTTGAGACCTGTGACTATTTGAAAAAAGAAATTGACCTTCTGATAAGCAAAATTTTAATCAAAAAAATTTTTTTAATTTGCTACTAAGTTTAATTTTTTTATAATGTTTTTATTTATTTCTAGGAGAGAGAGAGAGAGAGCGTGAGCAGGGGAGGGTCAGAGAGAGAGGGAGTCACAGACTCTGAAACAGGCTCCAGGCTCTGAGCTGGCAGTCAGCACAGAGCCCGACGTGGGGTTGGAACCCACGAACCGCGAGATCATGACCTAAGCGAAAGTCGGATGCTTAACCGACTAAGCCACCCAGGTGCCCCTAATTTGCTAATAAGTTTAAATCCCTCCTAATTGAATATGGAACAGGCAAAGCAGCAGCAGTCACTTATAGTCGTGTAACTAAATAGTTGTAAAGCATTGCTAGATATAAAATATAAGCAAATAATATGGACTTTGATATAATATAGGAAGAAAACTTTTTATTAAAGGATTTCAGAAGCTCCTGGAGAAAAGCGGGAAAGGAGATGAATCTTAAGGATTAGATACCATTCAGCAAGCTTGACATATAGTACGTCCCAAATGAATGTTTGATTTAATTTATTAATTCACTAAACAAATATCAACTATTTCCTGTGTTTTCTACATTGAACAAGGAAAAAATAGATCTAGTGTTGGTGAAACCTAAGACTGGTTAAGACTTACTGTAAATATTTTTTTTCTGTTTCCTTTAGCTTTCAAAGAACACTAATATCCCCACTTTATTTAATCAAACTAAGAAAATAATCTTCACTTACCAATACATGCATATTTGCTATGCAAAAAGGAAGAAAACAAATGCTATTATTTAATTATTCTGTATTAATAAAAGATAAAAACATTTCTCTTTGTATTCTCTTTTTCTCTTTTATTTTGATGATTATTATTTTTTAATCCCCATCACCTGTGTAACCCATCACCCCCACCCACCTCCCTTTTAGCAACTTTAGTTTATTCTCTATAGTTAAGAGTCTGCTCCTGTGTTTGTCTCCCTTTTTCTCTCTTTTTTACCCTTTGCTCATTTGTTTTGTTTCCTGAATTCCACACATGAGTGAAATGGTATTTGTCTTTCTCTGACTGACTTGTTTCAGTTAGCATTATACTCTCCAGATCCATCCATGTTGTTGCAAATGGCAAGATTTCATTCTTTTTTATGGTTGAATAATATTCCATTGTTTATATATACCACTTCTTTATCCATTCATCAGTTGATGGACACTTGGGCTGTTTCCTTAATTTGGCTATTGTAGATAATGCTGCAATAAGCATCTTGGTGCATGTATCCCTTTGAATTAGTATTTTTGCATTCCTTGTGTAAATAACTAGTAGAGTAACTGCTGGGTCTAGAGTAGTTCTATTTTTAACTTTTTGAGGAACCTCCATACTGTTTTCCAGAGTGGCTGCACAAGTTTGCATTCCACCAACAGTACAACAGGGTTCCCCTTTCTCCACATCCTCACCAATACCTGTTGTTTTTTGTGTTATTTATTTTTTAGCCATTCTGACAGGTGTGGGGTGATATCTCATGGTAGTTTTGATTTGCATTTCCCTGCTGAAGAGTAATGTTGAGCATCTTTTCATGGGTCTTTTAGCTATCTGAAAAATGTCTATTCATGTGTTCTGCCCATTCTTAATTGGATTATTCATTTTTGGGGTGTTGAGTTACTCTTTTTCTCTTTTAATTTGAAGCAACTTGGCATATCGGAAAACAGCCTTTGTTTGGAAATCAGGTCTGATTCAGTCTAAGTTATAACACGAAATAATTATCTAACCTAAGGCAACTAGAAAATAAGAGAGACCAGCAGAAAGTGTTTTTGGAAGGTTTATTCTCAAAGTTTATTTTAGCACTGAAATCTAATATTTTAAGCACATCCAAAAATGATGTCACATCTATTAAGATAGAAAGAAGTGACATAATTAGAAATTTCATCCTGCAGATAAAGTCCATAAACTAAACCCCACTAATTAGCCTCAACATTAGCACACCACGCCATACTCAGCAATTACATATTTCCTAATGTGAGCCTACCTCTTTGTGATCTTAATTTAAATGTATACATCTTTCCCCCTAAACCTTCTGTCCTAAATCAAAAGGGGCTTTTGGACATTGCCAGAGAGTGCCCAGTCCATGCCGTCTTTAAAGACAGGGAGACATGGATGCTCCACCACCCAATCCACCATGACAATTACACTGTTGAATTTAAGAATGCCCCCCAAACATCACAGACAAGAAACTGTACCTGCATATACATTCACAGACATCCATGAAGGCTTAGACAGAAGCCATTTTCACTACTTTTGTAAGTGATGAAGTCACTGTATATCTTCCTTTCAACCACATAAAATACCTACCATTCTGATCAGTTATTCTTCTTAGAGGTCTTAAACAGGAAATGGAAAATTTCAGGATGTAAAAAGGTGAGAACCAGTCTACACCTACTCTCACAGATTGTTGTCTTATAAACCCTTGGATGCAAAAGAACAGACCTTTGCTTTGGTGAGCTCAAGAATCCTTTTCAATTGTATTAGGAATGGTTTTCATATCATCAACCCAGTGAGAAAAAAAAGGCATAAAACTCCACACTGCATGACAGCTCACACCAGAATATATCACTCTAAATAAAAGTGTTTGCACATGTTATTCTATAATAGCATCACCTCTTCAGAGCTAGAGAGGGTTGGAAATAACTTGTCACAACTGTAGTTGCATGCATGCCTCTGCAACCCAATACCCAGTCTCCTATTATCAGCCACTTTCATTTTCTCAAACACCTTGAGACCTCATCACAATTCTGAACCAATTAACAAAATGGAAATTTTCTGAGAATTAGCTATTTTGAAGCAGTGACCACTATGTATTATACATTACTCCTGAAGTATTAATTTTATTTCAAGATTTTTGACAGTAAACTGGAGTCCACCTCCTAACCCACTTGCCCCTTAGATCCAGGGTAAGATTTAATAGCATCAGGAAACAAACAAGACACCATCTTCTTCCATTCTTATTTCCCTTTCCTGGCTTCTCACCTTCACTTTCTGCCATGCTGTCAGCCACATGGGTTAACTGGTGTGGGGCTTTATCTCTTATAGTGTAAGAGAGCTAACCCTGGTGTGTACTGCTTAGCAAAATGGAGTGAGAAAAGATGATAACAGCTAATTTTGTTGCAGAAGTTCCAAAACAAGTAGAGAGGAACCCCACTGAACAGGGGCAATATGTCTGATCAACCCATTCTTCACCTTAATTGTTCCTTTTCAAATTGCTTTCTTTCTTTTTTGAATCACAAACCCCTCTGAGAATCTGATTCAGTTTACAAGCATCCACCTAGAAATAGTACTCATAAACATAAATACAAAAAATAGGCTTACTATTTATCTCATTACATTGGAAATTGATCTACACATAGAATACTGAGAATTATAGTTTTTTCACTCTTATGAAAAAGTTATGCAATTTTCCTGGAACAAGAAATTAAAATATATTCAACATCTCATCAGTGTCAATATTCACTTTAATGGCAATAAGAGGTACAACCCTGACTCATGAAGTCTCTAATAGCAAATGGAATCAGAGCCCCTGTAGCTCACAAGATTTCATATGGATAGGGGGGCATCAAGAATGACCAAAATTCATATTACATCATTTCCTTTGTCTTCAGGTCAATGAGATTATCTTTGCTAAGTCTATATCATCAAAGTTATCTACGTCAGCAAATTGTTTCAATTTTAAAGGCATCCGAACAAAAATGACCTTCATAAGAGAGAAAGCCATTTGCCAAGTGTCT